TCCAGAAAGATTAATTTATTTAAAATTAGATTTTGCAGTATTACTATCGTAGTGAACTAATGATTGCTTTCCTGAAGTTAATAGAAGTATGGTTATCTGTCCTGCGAATTGGAGAAATTTTAGCAGTGATTACTTTTTAACTTGTTGTAACTAAATTTTTTAATGTCAGCAAATGATAATTATTTTACTGAGCTCTGTACTTACTTAGTAAATTTGAGTTAACCTCTGTCGTATAAAAAAGTTCTCCAAAAGAGTTGAAAGTTAGGCAGTAAGCTGCATACGTAGCAAGATAAATTTAGAGGTAGGCCTTTATACACTTATAGTTATCTCTTAATTTCTTTTGTTTTGTTTCTTAGAATCTTTAAACAAAATATTCTTAAATTTTTCCTTTTAAAGAAATTCAAATAAGCTGTCTCCGTATGACTATTAGGCGCTAAAATAAGGTAGGGATATGCATATCAAACTGCCTTAAAATTAAATCTTAAATAATTTATGTTTCTTTGAATTCAGTTACGCAAGAACATCATTGAATAGGTACAAAACTTAAAAGCAGTAAAGAGAAAATAAGTAGAAAATTTCATCTTATCATACTGCATCACAGGTTTTCATTTAAAATAAGGCTTTGTTGTTTTATTACAGTATTGTGCCTATGGTTTGTTTTGTATATTTTATTGTGGAAAAGCATACGAGAGCTATCTATTTAAGGAAAGTGGTATTTTCATAGAGCACTTTCTACTGAAAACTGACTCGTATAGACATTACATTCAAAGAAAACAATGAAAACACCCATGCAGCCAGCTTCAAGTATTCACATGGTATATTGCAGAAATTACCTAATTGTAATTTTGGAAGGAATTTTTTAAACAAATGAATGGGTATGTGTTGCTAATTTGTTTTGTAATTTTTAGGAGTAATGACTGCGAAATGATATGCTAGTCCCAAACAACGACTGAAAGTATGAAAACTTTTAAAAGAAAATGTATTTCTAAGGAGATGAAAATACAAATTTAATATCGTTTCTTAAAAAAAGAAAAGGTATTTCGCATTTCCAAAGGTTTAAATTTAAATGATGCAACAGTGAAAACCATTAAGAAATTTTTATTAGTTTTTTAAAGTTTTCGGAACGCATCGCTGTATTTTGTCTCGTTCTAACGCGGTTTCACAAAATACAGTATTTTCTAGAAACATATCTACCGCATTACAGGAAGGATACCTGTGCATAATATTTAAACTAATCTGAGCACGAGAGGCATATTGTGAGCAACAACAACTCAGCACGAAACATAGCTATCCGTTTCAATTCATAAGAAGTGAAAAAATTAACGGTTATGTAGAAATCACTCCGAATCTTCGAGAGATAACAGTAGGTTCGTGGCGCCATCTAGTGGGTATAAAGCAAGTTATAGTGAAAGTACTCAAAGCCGTTACACACCTGTAACGTACGGAATTCAACTCACTGTTACTACAGTAGTGCGCTTTGTATCCGTAGATAATTAGTTCCAGGACGTACCTTAGATAGCAGCGAGCGCTATATAGAATAGGATTTCCATGCAACCATATGTAAATTCGCTGAAGTTTGAAAGATAAATTCGGCACATTAAGACATTGTCAGTTACACTGCACACTATATCATTTCATATATATTATACTGTTAATAAAATCCAAAATGTTTGCTCTCTCACTAAAGAATAAGCTATTACAATATCTCTTGACTTTGGAAGCACTGATTGCATCCCTACACTTACACATGGATGCCACTGTAACGCAAGCAAAAACAAATTTCTGAGTACGACAGCTACAAATGTTGTTAAGGAAAACAAGGAGATTATTAAAAGCAGAGTTGAGAGAAAATTGAAAAATTTCGAAAAGCGGAATTCATAAGAAGCAGCCTGCAACCTGAAAGCGTGTATGAGATTCGAAAGATGACCATTTTCATCTCCCCTCCCATTTCGTTATATCCCTTAGAAAAGCGTATGCAGATCGTTTTTACTGTGGAAATAAAGTACTTAACTTAAACTTCAGGTGTCTATTTGGAAACTTCGTAAGACTTTTTCGTCTCCTTTGTAAACCGTAGATGCGGGAGTCCTCAAGGCCTTAACTTGAGTCTTGGTGGGCCCGGGAAACATATGATAGTGCCCCCCCCCCAAGTTTCTACCAACCTTAACCACATTTTTTTTTTTCTTCTAGTTATGGTTGAATATTTCCTTAATAATTAAAGTAGCTTTATGCAGTTTAATCAAAGGAAACATTTTTCGATAATGTCTCGTTGATGTTAAATTTCTATCATATGTTATTTTTACTTCCTTGTACGAAGTAAAAAGGAAGTATTGTAATCGCGAAAAGCTTCAGGGAGCATATTTCAACGAAAATATCCATTTTGACCGCTATCGAATGCAATTTAACGATGTTTTTGCGTGATATCTGTACGTAAGGACAGAATAAAATACTCTTTTCCTTCAAAAAAATTATAAAACTGCTTTAAAATTAATTCTGAAGAGAATTTTTCGTGGCGTCTGTACGAACGTATGTACGTACGTTCGTGCGTACGTACGTATCTCGCTTAACTCAAAAACGAGTATCCTCAGAACGTTGAAATTTTGTATATAGGACTGCTATAACATGTAGATGTGCACCTCGTATTTTCGTTGCAATCGGCCGCACCAAACGTATATAAATATATTTATATATATATCCACTCTGTTACCCGGCTCAGTGATCTCAGGTTCTTTACTCTTATATGTTTGTAAATTGTACATTTTTTGCTTTAAAAATGATTGAATTATGTTGTTTTATCTCCCGGTTAAGGATTTATGCCTTTAGTAAATCCTGTGTGCAATATTTTTTAGAATTATCAGAAATTTTAAAGTTCTTTAATTGCCGCTAAGCCTTTTTTAATGGCGGCCATTGATGTTTACATTTGAAACAGGAGACTAGTGGATTTGTTGCCAATCTAGAGAAACCTAGCTTCGCAACATCAAAGATAACGCATTCATTTATTATTGCCAATTAAATCATGCTTAATCCTTTCTGCAATTTTTTCGAGGAAATAAGTGTTTGAGATTTACTTCGTAATTTTTAATATAGATATTTTGAGTTTTTATGTATTTTTTGGCCTTCTCGCGAAGTGAGAAACTGAATTAATTAAATGAGAAATACTCAATCATCTGTGAAAAACTGTTTCTTTTTTTTCTTTTTTTTTTTTCTTTTTTGTTTTGTTTGTTTAATTTCTTTTATACATCATTCTAGCTTTATTATAGTATTTGAAGAGAACATGTGGCAACGATTAGATAATCCTATTCTTTAAATGATATAAATTTTGTGCATTGTGATTTATAATATGAAAGAAATATATACTTTAACTGTTATATAATTATTGGATTATATAACAGTTAACTTAGTTTCCGTTATATAATTATTATATAAGTTAACTGTTATATAATTATTAATACTGTTAAGTGAATCTAGCGCCAGAGTGTCGCTATGGTAAACAAATACTAGAATGAATTTTAAAGAATGCATTTATTCTATTGTGGTTTATGCGCTGTCGGCGAAGTAGATTTAATTCAATCCAATAAGTAATGCAAGAAAAAATGCGTATAATTTAATATTCCAGTTTAATATTCCAATACAAGGAAGTCATGTGGTGTACACATCAGATTTTTTATTTTTGTTTAATGTTGTTATTCTTTTAAAATTAAAGGCATCCAAAGCATTTCACGTCATACGGAGCGTAATATGATATATATGCATATAGTATTTAAGGTAAAATGTTTCAGTGTACTTTATTTTTATACTCGAATTATAAAAATCTGCTTTCTAACTGCAAATTCATCAGTTATTTCATCATGCTTAGATTGTTTTCAAATGAGAGCAAAGCTAAACCGACGCGCCATTTTTTATCCCCATACTCCTCCGGAAAGAAATTTTTATTAATTTCTGTTTGTGATCGTTCAACCATCAAATCTCTAATACAGAAAAAAATCTATATATCTATATCCTTTTCCAACACTCGGGGGCTTCCTAAGCTTTGAACGCAAGGGCACTACCCCGGTAGTAGTTACGACCCTGGGGGTACGATTACACTTTCACTAGTACTTTTTAATTATTTTTAATGTTATAGTACATTTACCATTATAGATATACGTTTCAGCTATGTCAGGATCTGAACCAAGTTTTTAATGAATAAATTTCAAAGATCCTGTTTTTCCTGATCCTGTCCTCTGAGTTTTCCAAACCTTACTGAACAAAACAGCTATGAAAATCTAGGTAGAGAATCGCATTTATTGAGGAAAGTACTTGTAGAACAACTGAGGAAGAATTTCATGAGCGCGTTCAGGCGCGTCTGTGATTTAATAAAAGTTTTTGAAATTAAATCAGCTGTAGAGAAACGTTTTCTACTTAATCGGGTGTTAGTTAAAGCTGTATTATACCTCTCTCATTCGTCAGCAACAACTGAACGAATATTTCGATTAGTGAAAATGAATTTGAATAAAATAAAAAGTAACTGCAAACTCCATTGAGGAGCGACTCTTTTCTATGAAAGAAAAAATATTCAATTTGATGGCTTTTACTATTTATTAAGAATTAACAAATTTAGCAAAATCTGCTAAAAATAATGAATAAACACTACCGGCGTTCTTTCATATATGCAATTACATATTAAATAAACTGAATACCTGTTTGTAATTTACATATCTATACGTAAATAGGAAAATTGACACAGTTTGAAGATAACTGATCATTTTGAAGATAACAAAGCATAAATGGGTTATTAAACTATTAGATGAAATCCATTTTAGGTAATCCGAGTCATTTCTGGCCACACTGTCATAAAAAGCGTGGATTGCTATTACTAACGTCTTTTACCCTCCTAATAAGATAATGGTGCTATGATTTGCATTAGAAGAGTTAGTATTGAAATAATAATATGAAGCACATAGACTTTAAAAATTCAATTAATACTTTATGAAATACATTCAGGAATGTGAATTTAGTTTTACCTTTTGATCTCCAGACCGCCACGTGAAATTCACGCTTTCGACTTCTGCTGGAATGACAGGTAAGTAGTTTTCGAAGTTGGGGTCTAAGATGTACGGCAATACAACTCCATCCACAATGGCAAAGATCTCCATTGGAAAACCTAGGAATTGAAAATACTTTTTAGTCTCGACATTAAGAATAATGTTTTGATAGAAACCGATACAATGATTTGTTTCGCATATAAAGTGCATTCTCTTTGATCTGGCTTCACTTTATTTGGCCGTATTTTCGACCTTTTTTTTAAAAAAAAAAAATTCTGAGTTTAGTTTTCCATTAATGATTGATGTAAGACTCCATTTCTGGTGGATTAATGGTTGCTTTTTAGATCTCAGTCGCTTAGTGCACATATTTTCATTGGCTTTGAAAAAACTACATTAATTTGAAGGGACGAACAAGAGGAAGAAAAATGTGTAAACAATTGAAATAAGATTCAAAGCGTTGGAACGTAGAGATAATTGAAAATGTTTGAACTGAAAATATAATGAACTAGGTGTCGAGAAAAGTGCACAGAATGCTTAATGGGAAAAACCTGAAATCCTCTTAAAAATTTCAGTAGGCAAACAGCGTCAGAAAAAGTGCTTTCAAAGAAGTAAACTAAGAAGCCAAAAGTGAAGGTACTAGTGAAACGCTAACGGAATATAGAGAAAAGTTATGTATCGAATTGCAAAACAATTCATTTGCTACTGAAATTACCTCTATGAAAAATGGATATGAATTTGTTTCAAAACTAAAACTGAGAATAAATTTTTAAAAAAATTCTCTCTCATTATTTAACTAAATAAATAAAGATTCAATACTAAGTATATGAAATAAATGTTTAATATTAAATTTTATTTTGAATAAATGTTTGATTTTTGTTAAACAACGTATTTGTATTACATTACATTTTCTAAATTTTATTTGGAACCTGCCAAAGTTATTTTCTACACTTTTTCAGAATAACCGGCTTTGTTTATCCGGTCTTAAACCGAGTCCCATTGAAGACGGTTAAACAGAAGTCACGTACATAATTCTTGTGCTGTGTTTAAAGGCACCAGTTTTAAACATATTTATAGTTTTCGCTTGTGAATAGATACATTTGCTAATTTTGATTTCGTATGCGCATGTTTAATTGCTTTCTTTTGAAATGTAAAACATTTAACGCAAACAACTTCAATAAAATAGTAGATTAATTTTGAAAGGTGATGTAAAATTTTACAAATTACTTATTTATTTTGTAATATGGATGTTCTGTATGCATTTATGGGAATAATCTGACAAATTTTGAAAGCTTTATTTAGTTTGTATCAACTTTAATCGGAGGTATGGTATTTCGGAATTTTTCACCGTTTTTTCTTAATAGGAAATATGACCAGTTAGTGAATAGTTCTCGGCTTCTTGAAAACTTTTTTTTAAATAAAGAAGAAAATAGAAACATCTGTTATCACTATGTATTATTTTTTTACGGAAATATAGTGAATATTTGGAAATATTGGGGTCGCGATGTAGTACAAAGAGAATGAAGGAAGACTAAGCGTTGGATGCAGAGGCAGCGAGGTAATGAAATAAGAGTGTTAGGATAATGTTTTTATGTAATGTTGTTGTTTAGTATATAAAGTTGAAAAGATAGAAATTAAAAGCTAACACATAAAAAGAATAGAAGCTACACTCATTACCACTATTTGGTAAAGAACTTGATAAAATTACGCTCGCATATTTGCGGTTCATGATAGCGATTTTCGTAATATTAATAATGCTGGAATTTCACAGTACATTAGGACTTCATCGATAGCAGTTTTCAAAGATTACGCTGGTTTATTTGTAGCACGGACGTACAGTTGAATTTTGATATTAAGCGCTACACAGAAGCTGAAAATCGCACTCCAGAGATTCTTGCCTGAATTAATGGCTTACGAGCTGTTGCTTTACATTCGAAATTAACCCTAGTCTGAGATGAGAGGGGAAGAAAAAAAAAAAACGCTACAGACGGTGCTGTAAATTTTTTGCGCAATAATGATGAGAGCAACAAATATATGATTTATAGCCTTCACGCTATGATTTGGTGTGTATGACCGTGGACGAGAAATTTGATGCTCCGTTGCAGGGCCAAAGTGTCACTTCGTTTGCGACAGCAACGGGTAGATGTAAAAATATCATTCCGTAATTGATTTCAGCTGTACACTCTTAGAAAATGATTCTGCTTATGCCCGATTGAGGTCACAGAAGAAGTAAAACAGACCAAGATGTTAAGTAGGCTTTCTTTTTACTGAATAAAGTAAAGAAAAAATGCTGGACGTTCACAGTTATCTCTAGAATAATACAGACAACCATATCTGCCTGAGCCATAAACATTCTGCCGACATTGAGCCATATTATAATGGGGTCGTTAGCATCGTTATTAGGGCCATCAGGAGTGGGCAAAGGTGATGTTCTCAGCCGACCAAGAACCAAGGGATTTGGATTACGGAGTACCTTTGCAATTAATTGCAATTACCTCCACCTCATCGTTCATAAAAATGAAATAAATAAAAGAGAAGCGGTCGCTAAAGTAGATGAAAGAGCAGATAAGCTGAAGTCAGGAATCGCTAAGGGTCCTCATTGTTAGGATACAAGAGGAGAGTACAAGAGTTTATCACAATTGAAGGCGTTTAGCCCCCCGTAGTGAGTCAACTTCTTGTACTCGGTAACAAAGAGAAGGCAACCGGGACGCGAAGAGCGTGGATGGTTGCCATGGAGACAAAACAGCTGATGGAGTGATTTTGCTTCACTGTTGAGAGAAGTTTAGGACATTATCTAATAAGCCAAGACAAAACACGTCCTTGAAATTGGCTATCATGGGCAAAGAATCTTCATAGGACTTAGATGAGCATAATCTTTGCAACAACAACTCTGATGACAAATCTGTATTTTTCAGAGGCTTTTCTGGGTAACGGGTTATGGTCATCATTTTTTCTAAGTAATGGATCTAGACTCCCTTTGTTAGTAATGCATCTAGACCATTACATCCTGAATGTACATCCACAATTAGTAATAGATCTAGACATTCTTTCTTTATTAAGGTAATCTAGTACATTATAGTATCCTGAATAGCTACAGAAATATTTGATTACAGCAAAGCTAGTTGCTTAAGGAAATAGATGCCTTCACCAAGGGCTTTATAAGGAAACTTCGCTCTTAGTTATATCTCAATGGAAAATAATCAAATAAATGCTCGTGCATGTAACCAGATCGTCGCGATTCGAACTCGGAACGAATTAACAATAGTCAGCGTGTGTGTGATTATAGCAAAGCCTCGATGGCTATCTGCCTAAGGAGAGGGATGCCTTCGTGGAGGAATTTCTAAGGGAAACTCGCTCGTATATACGTTACACATGGGGAAAACCACGAAAATGAAAAGAGAGATCCAAATTCGAGTCCCAGCGACAGCACTGCACATTTTTCATCTCTCTTGCTTCAGAAATAACCTAATGACTCTACAAGTCTTTTAATAGTTAAATATTTTTGATATTTCGCCTTGTACATCTCGAGAAAGAATATCAAATCTTTCGATATTTGTGCTATCATTATTAATGCCAATCATCACCGGGGTTGCACTTAGCTTACTTTTTAATGTAACAATGACAGTCTCTATAGAGTAGTATCTTTCAATTTGCATTTCTACGTAAATACCCAAAGTGTGCCAGAAAATTCCGTTTTGGAAATACCTCAGAAAACAAGAGAGCAAAAATTTGATTTTACGAAATCGAAAAGAGCAAATTAAGACTTCGATCATTAGCATGCAGGAATTTCAGATAGCTCGATTGCTTCCAAGTAATCTTCAAAATAAGAGAAAAACTGAGGTCGATCTTCAGGAAAAACCTACATAAAAAATAGCAACCCAGAAGGTTTAATAAAAACGGGAAGGACCAAAGTACATACCTTCAATAAGTCAACAGAATTTATAATGCAGCCAATATTTTTTATTATTACAGTGTTTTCTTCTGGGTCTTCCCTTTTTCTCCTTTTTTTCCAGAGAAATTATGCGCAATGGGTTCCGATTAACTGTAACCGCGGTCCGCATTAATTGCAATATATGCCTGTAGGTGGCAATATTAAAACATTTGGGAAACATTGTTTCAACAAATTCAGTTGCAGTGAACATTCTTTAAGCAACTACCAGATAATATGGATGTCCTGCGACAATGGATATTTTAGAGTTATGGATTGGACATTAACGAAAAATTCTTATATTCGCAAAATCTTTGAAGATCCCGTGAAATTCACGCCATGATGAAATTTCCAGCCTAGTGATACAGAGGTAATGCAACTTTCGTTCACGCTTTTTCCAAGCTTAAGTTTGGCAAAATAAAACATTGGCAAGTTTAAAAGCTCAGTGATGTTAATATTTGTTCCACCCCTTCATTTTTTTGTTGTTATTGTTTTAAAATATTCTGCCTGTTTTAGTCGATTTTTTTAAATTAGAAATACGTAATAAGCACTTCCTTACATTTTGTGATAAGTAAGATTCCTGCATTATACGTTGGAATTTTTCATCTCTTTTAAAGCCATTTTTCCTTTCCTTCTTTTTCCTTATAAATTTTAATAATAACGATCAATAAAAAACATCGCTTCATTTTCCAAACATTTTATCAGCTGTAGAGTTTTAGAATGAATGTTTCTGATAAAGGTTTCTGTTCATAATCTACGATATCATTCTTCGACAATATTATTTGTACTGGATAATTTACTATTGCAAATCCCCATCTGCATCGGCGTAGCATCATTTTCCAGCCATTGTTCAATAAAGTAATCATATATTTCTAATCTTCCACCAGATGATGAATTTTCTTGCACAGAAAGCCAACCACTATCGAAATATTGTATAGTTAAGTATAAATATGCGAAAAGTATATGCAAGGGACGCACACATTATGGGATGAATTCTAATTTCTTTATAGAGTTAACGAGTCCTAAGTTTTGTCTCTTTCTCCACAGATACGGATCTCAAGGGAAACTGGAACTTTTTATTTCTACAGAAGGTAAAAGCCTTTTTTAGCGTAATTATAACTGCAACTTCAAAATCCATTACTTTTCCTTTAGAATCACAGCCATTAATATAATTTTAATCGAATAAAATCATCT